CTCATCAAGTCAATCGTGGCGTGTGTCTCCACACAAGGACCTAGTCTAATCCCACACTCCTGCTCATTTCCCCCATGCCCTTTAATATTCTCTTTAAGCATCTATCCAAAGCCCTCTCATCTTGTATCAACTGACTGCTCATACATTTGTCTGCTTCAGATAAATAAACTGAAATTAAACAAAGTAAAGGGAATTGAAATCCTGAGCGTTTACAAAAGACTTTCAAAAAACTTGGAGCAACTCACTACCAAAAATACCCTGTCTATAAATGAGACCAAAAAGATATGAACAAGCTCACATTGAATATTTTTTTGAATGTTGGCCCAACCAATGCAGCATGGCCCTACAATCCATGTGAGTATGTAGTGTAGCGTTCACAGCACAATTCAAGAGATGGAGACATTTCATATGAAACGAGTGGCCATTCTAATCCAAATACCCTTTATATTATGAAGTCATTGTATATTTCAGCATGTTTTGGCCTTACTTGTATAATTAAAGCAAAAGTTATTTATGGTAAATTTATTTTTTGGACTGTAAACGGGTACTTCCAAACAAACAGTCACTTCACACTGAAGTACTTTGAGACATTTCAACACAAGTCAATATATCAAGTGCAGAGATTATTAGTGTTGCTATTAAATATATCTTCAGAAACAGTGAGTTATCAGATATATAATTCTTGTGCCTAAACACCCAAACAAATTTGACACTGAATTAAAAATTACAATTAAATGGAACTCTAATTATGTCCTATTTAATTGGTTTTAGTTTCTACAGATAAGTTTCTGAATCTTTTTCAGACGCTCATTATAATTCTTCGAAGACAAATAACTTGAAGTTTAAAATTGGATTAATTATTTGACGGACTAGACATTTTGTCATAGAGTAATCTTCAAAATTTTACTCGCATTTAATATATTTCGACACAAATTAGCAAGAGCATGATTCATTCCAGCAAACATTGTGTGTGCATATTCTAGAGTTGAGCGCTTAGCAAACTACAACAACAACAACAACAAGATTCCATTTATAGAGCGCCTTTCACGTCAGGAGGACGTCCCAAGGCGCTGCACAGTTGGGTCATGACCCGAGCAGGGGGGAAATGGTCAGGGTGAGGGGAGGGAAGGGAGGGAGAGAGGAGGGGGAAATGGTCAGGGTGAGGGGAGGGAAGGGAGGGAGCGAGGAGGAGGAAGAGAGTCGAGAGGGGAGCTGAAGGCACGGTCAAAGAGAAAGGTTTTGAGACCGGCCTTGAAGGAGGAAAGGGAGGAGGCGGCGAAGGCACTGGGGGATGGAGTTCCAGAGCCTCGGGGCTGAGAGGCTGAAGGCCCGACCACCGATAGTAGGGCGGTTGGGGCGGGGGACGTGGAGCAGACCGGAGCCAGAGGAACGGAGGGTACGGGCAGGTAGGTAGGGGATAGTAGGTTGGAGAGGTAGGAGGGAGCAAGGCCGTGAATGGCCTTGTAGGTGAGGATGAGGATCTTGAAATCAATCCTCTGGGGATGGGGAGCCAGTGGAGGCGAGCGAGGGTGGGAGTGATGTGGTCCCGAAGCCTGGTGCGGGACAGTACACGAGCTGCAGAGTTCTGAATGACCTGCAGCTTGTGGAGGGAGGTGGCGGGAAGGCCGGCGAGGAGAGAGTTCCCATAGTCCAGCCTTGAGGTGACAAAGGCGTGAACCAGGGTTTCAGCAGCGTGAGGGGTGAGGTAGTGCCGTAATCTGGCGATATTCCGGAGGTGATGGAAGGCGGTGCCAGTTGTGGTGCGGATGTGAGGGAGAAAGGACAGCTCAGGGTCGAACAAAACGCCGAGGTTCCTGACTGGCTTTGAGAGGTGGAGAGTGCAGCCTTGGATGCTGATGGTGTCAGCGCCTGAGGTGCGGAGGCGCTGACGTGAGCCAATCAGGAGGGCCTCGGTTTTTTGCACGTTGAGCTGAAGAAAGTTGTCTCTCGTCCAGGACTCGATGTCGGACAGGCAGGCTGTCAGGACATCGGTGGTCGTGGAGTTGAGAGTAGAGGAGGAAAGGTAGAGTTGGGTGTCATCCGCATACATGTGGAAGTTAACCCCATGTTTGCGGATGATGTCACCAAGGGGGAGCATATAGAGGGTGAAGAGGAGGGGACCGAGGACAGAGCCCTGAGGGACACCACATGAGACAGTACGGGGGGTGGAGGAGAAGCCATTCGTTGAGACGAAGTGAAGACGGTGAGAAAGGTACGACCTAAACCATTCAAGGACAGTGCCTTGAAGGTTGAGGTGGGAGGACAAGCGGTGGAGTAGGATAGCGTGGTCGACCGTATCGAATGCTGCCGATAGGTCGAGGAGGACGAGGAGACAGAGGGAGCCCTGGTCACAGATGGTCAGGATATCATTGGTGACCTTGACCAGGGCAGTTTCTGTGCTATGAGCAGCACGGAAACCTGACTGAAGGGGTTCAAAAAGAGAATGGGTGGAGAGGAAAGAGCGCAGTTGGGAGGCGACAACTCTTTCCAAGACCTTGGAGAGAAAGGGGAGGTTGGAGATGGGCCGGTAGCTTGATAGCTGCGACGCATCAAGGGAGGGTTTTTTCAGGGTGGGCGTGATGATGGCAGTTTTTAATGGAATGGGGACAGAGCCAGAGGAGAGGGACAGGTTTATGATGTCAGTGATGTGTGGGGCAAGAAAATGGAGCTGGGAGATAAGGAGTGGAGTGGGGATGGGGTCAAGGGAGCAGGTGGTTGGTTTTAGGGATAGGATGAGTTCAGTGACAGAGGGTGGGGAAACGGGTACGAAGGTGTGTAGGGGAGGATGGGTAGGAGTCGGAGTGTGGGAGGGAAGGGGTGGGTGGTGGGTGGAAGTTGGAGGGGAAGTGACCGCGGAGCGGATTCCCTTGATCTTGGATTCAAGGAAATCCAGCATCTCCTCGCAGTGAAGGTTGGAGGAGATGACCTGCGCGGGGTGGCGGGGGGACGGAGGAGTCGGGATGTGGTGGAAAACAGTAGCCTGGGGTTGTTCTTCGCCTCCAGGATTATCCTGGAGTAGAAGGACGACTTGGCCGAGGCTAGAGTGGAGCGGTAAATTTTGAGGAGGTCCAGCCAGATTTGTCGGTGGACCGTTAAGCCGGATTTGACAAAGGTGCGCTCAGCAGCCCGCACCTGGCATTTCAGTGAGCGGAGGTGGGTGGTGTACCAGGGGGAGGAGCGGGAGTAGGAGACAGTGCGGGAAGTGATGGGGGCAAGAGTATCGAGTGTGGAGGAGAGGATATTGTGGAGGAGGGAGAGAGGAGAAGAGGGGTCGGTGAGGGTTGAAGGCCAGAGGGAGAGGAGTTCAGAGGACTCCAAGGCATCGGTTAGGGATTGTGGGGGTAACTTCTTCCAAGGGCGGTAGAAGATGGTGGTGGGTCTGGTGGAGGTGGGGAGGGGGGTGGAGGTGGTGAAGGAGATGAAGTAGTGGTCGGAGATGGCCTTGTCGGTAATAGTGACATCCGAGACACTGAGGCCCCGGGTGATCACCAAATCGAGTGGGTGGCCGTGACTGTGAGTGGGGGAGTTTATGTGTAGGGAAAGGTTGAGTGAGGAGAGCAGGGAAGAGAAGTCTGTGGAGATGGAGCAGGAGGGGGTGAAGTGTAGGTTAAAGTCGCCCAGGATGATGAGGCGATCGGAGCAGAGGCAAAGAGATGTGAGGAGTGTTGAAATGTCAGAGATGAAGGTGGGAGAGGTTTTAGGGGGCCGGTAGAGGAGGAGGATTTTAAGGGAGAGGAATGAGGGGTGGGAGAGGGTGAGGTGCTCGAAGGAGGGGAAAGAGCCAGTGGAGTAGGGGGATAGGGCAAGTGGTGTCCTTGAGATAAGGGCAACACCACCGCCACGGCGGTTGGGGCGGGGGATGTGGTGGGAGGTGTAGCCGGGTGGCGTGGCCTCCGTGAGGGGGAAGGTGTCGCCTGGGGTGAGCCACGTTTCTGTCAAGGCCATGATATCAACGTTCTCATCAAGGATGAGATCGTTGATGACCAGGGCCTTGTTGCAGAGGGAGCGGACATTTTGCAGTCCGATGTGGAGGGAGCGGTTGACAGAAGGGTGTGTGGGAGGGGAGGGGGGTCCAGGTTGTGAGGCAGGGGTGGGGAGATGGGGATGAGGGAGGAGAGGTTGACTCCCCGGGTCTGTGTCCGGGGTGGCTGGCGAGAGTGGTGGGGAATGGGGCAGTCGGTGTGGCTGCTGCTGGACAGCCAACGCCGAGTGCCGCGTGAGCCCGGCGGAGGATTCCCAGACTGGAACAGAGGGAGGTTGTGGGAGGGTCAAGTGGGGATAGAAGACGAGAGGGACGGAGAGAGAGGAGGAGAGAGCGGGAGAGATGCAGAGGGGGGAGGGTTTGGGGGAGAGAGGAGGGGGGAGGGAGGGAGGGGGTGAGGGGGCTCGGGTCAAAGCGGCAGCCATAGTGCGCACGCGGGGACCGGGAGCGAGCGGTCAGGTGGATGGCATTATCCCGCAGATTGGGGCATCGAACCCAACAGGACCATACTAAACAGAATGTAACACGTTTTTAGTTCATCCAAGGTAGTCATATTCTAAAAGTATTCAAACTATTAAATTCCACCTTTAATTAGATGTTCTTCTTGCCAAGGCATGGAAACTTTGCTCTGACCAACATGGGAAGAGGATAAGAGTTGGAACATAGATCCTGTTGGTGTGTTGCACATCTGGCTACCATCAGGAATGAATATTTACAAACCCTAATGTGAATATTTAGACCCCTGTATAGTCATTGCATATTTTGAACATGTTGAGGTTCTTAAATCCATCAAGCTGTTCATGTCCGTCACATCATCATTTGTATTAACTCATCACAAAAAGAAAAGTCTATCAAAAAGGACTGCCTGATTGGCAACTGTTTCCATATTGGAGGACCCATTGTGTGTGATACAGGGAGATGGTTTAAGTCAAAATTTTCTCTAACATGCACGATGGATGGCAATGGATGAACTCTGGCTGTATCTCTGACTCTTTCTGTTGATTGTTTCTCCTTACAGCACTGGGTTGAAAAAGCTGAAAGCCAGACACTGCTATCAGATTCTCTTGACCTGTCTGAACTGTTCCATCCAGATACATTTCTTAATGCTCTGCGTCAAGAAACTGCAAGGTAAGCTATTAGACACTAACTTAGATTTGGTGTTTGGTGCAAGGCCTTTGGCTCTAGTTTGACCTGCAGTCAATGGGGTATTTGTATTAGTCCAAGCCTTTGTTTTGTCCTATCCAGCCTGCCGCCGCATGGTTTGTTCATTTGGGGTGTTTATTACAGAACGGGAACATTTTTATAACAACAGCAGCAAATTGCATTTATAGAGCGCCTTTCACGTTGAGGTGACGTCTCAGGGTGCTGAATAAATTTAAGCATTTCAATTGTCAAAATAGTAATCATTAAATTCCAAATGTACACTTAGTCATTTTATTGTATAATGTTCACCTCTGTAAAACCATGTTAATGATTATAAATAGAAGCCTGGTGCTTACCCTCGTGAATATATTCTTTAGCATATTTGCTGTTTTAGAAATTCAATAATTACATATTTCTTATTAGGAAATACTGCAAATTAGATTCTGCATTAAGGCTGTGGGCTAAAAATTCCATTGAGCAAATATGTTAGGAAATCTGATTAGTGGTGATATTGCCAAAGGCGACACGCATAACACTGAACAGAATTTTTACCCATGAATGTATTGCATTGCAGTGTCACATAATATTGCTTTGCAGTCCATGATAACAGTTAGCTGAAGAGAATTTCATAGAATCATAGAATCATACAGCACAAAAAAAGGCCATTCGGCCCATCGAGTTTGTGCCGGCTCTTTGAAAAGAGCAATGTAATGTCAATCCCACTCCCCAGCCCTTTCCCCATAACCCTGCAAACCCGTCCTCCTCAAATACCCATGCACCGCATTTTTAAAAGTTGTTGTTGAATCGGCCTCCACCACCCTTTCAGGCAGTGCATTCCAGATTCGAACAACCCGCTGTGTGAAAAAACTTTCTTCTCACCTCCCCTCTGCTTCTTTTAGAAACTATTTTAAATCTGTGACCTCGAGTCACCGACACACCCACCACTGGAAACAGTTTTTCCCTTTCTAACCAATCAAATCCCGTCATGATTTTGAAGACCTCTATTAGCTCTCCTCGTAACCTTCTCTGCTCCAATGAGAATAATCCCGGCCTCTCTAGCCTTTCCTCATAATCAGGGTCCCTCACTCCTGGTACCATCCTCGTAAATCTCCTCTGCACCCTTTCAATGCCTTAACATCCTTCCTATAGTGTGGTGCCCAAAACTGGGCGCAGTGTTCTAACTGAGGCCTAACCAGTGTTTTATATAGGTTAATCATAACCTCCTGACTCTTGTACTCTGTGCCCCTATTTATAAAGCCTAGTATTCCATACGCCCTTTTTACAGCTTTATCTACCTGTCCTGCCACCTTCAAGGATTCATTTACCTGAACACCCAGGTCTCTCTGTTCCTTCAACCCCCCACCCCCCCATTTAAGATTGTATTACCAGCCTATATTGCCTCCCCTCGTTCTTTCTTCCAAAATGTATTACCTCGCTTTACTCCACATTGAAACTCATCTGCCATGTGTCTGCCCATTTACCATTCTGTCTATGTCTTCCTGCAGTTGGCTACTATCCTTCTCACTGTTTACCACCCTACCTAACTTTATGTCGTCCGCAAACTTGGAAATGGTACTTGCTATACCCAAGTCCAGATCAATTATACATAATTTCTAAGGTGTTATTTGGGAAAGTTGTCAGGTAAAAGTAAAGGTGGAATAATTTGAAATAATCTGTTACAGAGTGTTGGGGTGCTCAATAGACAACCTGAAGTGTGTTGCTTCTTGGAAGGGCCAGCTACAAGATGCAAAGCTTCAAGTCAAGGTAGGAACAGTTTAATCATCTGGCGTTAAAAACACAAAAAAAAAAAGGTCAAATTCACAGAGATTCACAGCACATATCATAGTGATTTGGGATGATCCTAGGTTTAAGATTCTGTGTACCAAGGACCTAAAGCTCATTGTACTACTACTGATAGTGCTATGCTATTCTGTCTAGTTTTATACCGTCTTATAAGCAATAATGTTGCATTCTAGATTTTAGACCTACTATTATGTCCATGATAGACTTGATAGGTAGCACACACATCTTTGAGCCACAAAGTTATGGTATCAAGCCCCACCTTGGGATTTGACCTTGTAGTCCAAAGGGGGAGTGCTATACTATTGGAGGAACCAAGATCCTAGCTGACTGTTCTCCATGTGGATGTTAAAAGTCTCATGACACTATTTGAAAAGTGAGGGAATTCCCCTGAATACGGTACCTCAGGACTACAGAAATTTTCCTTGCCAACAATCGTTCAGGCAAAATTGGTCATTCATCCCGTGCAATTTGCTATGCACAAGAAGGCTGACCCATTTACCTAAAAATTCAGTCACTACATTTGGCAGTACTTATGGCAAGGGGCTTTGAGAAATTTCAATGTGACAGGTACTATAAAAATGTAATTTTTTTAGCTTTGTGCCTTTTTCATTACCTACCTCCCACCATCAAGCATGAAGAAAGGTTTTTCTTTTGTCACAAAGCTTTTTGTAAAAAGCTATTATTTGGATAACTTTTTGTTGTTTTCAGCACAATGATATAAATCAGGCTGAAACACTATCAGTTAGGAGATTATTGTCATGACAAAAAGATTTCCTGAACACGTTCACATGAAGACACACAATGAAATATTTATGACTGGCAGTGCTACATAAAGACTGAACACAAGACTTCTGGACAGCAGAAATGTCAGTTTCACTTTTCATTGCCTGTGTTTTTCCCCATGTATTGAATAGCATTCCACACCAATGTGACAGCTAATGGCTAAGGAAAACAGGAACCAGATGCACTCAAAAACAAAGACTTTTAACACACCTAATTGTCAAATATTCAGTCAAATAATAAACTGAAATGAACTTTAAATGAGAGCTGGCAGCGAATTTCGTGGCATAAGAAGCACTGAGACAGTGCATAATTTAAATCTCTTGCGGCTAATGGCCTCAAAGTTGATTCCATTTCGGATTTGAAAATTTGTTTGGAAACAGTATGTTTAGAATAGCTTGGATAAAATGAATATTTGAAAATATTAAGTAAGTTTGGATGTTAAAAAATTTATTGTTTATGTTCACCTTGAATTTTATGGTCATTGAAAGTGATTTTATTTGACCAATGGGTGTCTGTATCTTTCCAACTCAGCTTTTTAACATTTTGTCATGTTTGTGTGTCTTTGCAGTCTTACTGTCGATTAAAGTAAAAATTTACAATTTTTTTAATTTGCAAGTCTTTATATAAATCAAGAGGTAATCAAATCTTGCATTTTTATACCATGTTACCAAGTTGAAACGTCTTAAAGCCGTTTAAGGTAATAACCATCAACTGTAGTGACTATTTTTCTAAGCCATTTTTTACACAAAGTTCCACTAATAGCCACAAAGTGAATGACCAATTGATCTGAAGGATAAGGATCTCTTCTTTTTAAATAGTGTCATGAGATAGAAAGCTGGCAATGGAAAGGAGAGACCTTGATTACATCTGCCTGAGATGTATTCAATTCCAAATTTTATAGGTGAAATGATAGGGAAGATGTATATGTGCCTGACACTCAGGGATTGTGGTCCCAAGCTGTTTCCTAATTCCATTGTCAGGGCAAGGAGTCTGTCAGCCCTCGTAAACAGGGGATGTTGTGACCCACTAGATGAGCAGCAGTGTGTGGAAACAGCATTTACAGACACGGAGTACATGCCTGAGCAAGATGGGAGATAGGAAGGCTACACGGGAGTTTCCTGAATATACAGTCAGATCAGACTTTAAAAAGATTTTGAAAGCAGAGAGGGTTGGTGCAACGCAGAGGAATTTTGCCAGAGTTTCAGTTCCCATGCTATTGATAGAGGTTAAGGAAGGATACTGTGGGAATCAATAATTTGAGTAATGTGTGTTTAGGCTCATTGCAGAGAGTTAGACAATGTTTCCTTATACATTCACGCTAAGAGCCAACTTGTTTTATAATCTATCAGATAAAGGAGTCTGTTGGGTACTCAAGTTTATTTTTTCATCCACTGTCAGTTTTGAAATAATTTAAAACTGTCTAATCATCAGTCAGAGCCTGGGAACAAATGAATCAGGAAATGACTTGACTTAAATTTAGGCATTGAATAATTCAGTCGGGAAACTATGTTAGACGTGTGGATTTACAGGCAAACTAATCATTTCCTTCAATTTGATTATTGCGATAAATAATCTTTGTTTATTACAACTGGATTCATTCAGGGATATTCAAAATGCCCTATCAAAGCAACTAAATTTGACAAGGTATAAAATGTAGTTTTAAAAGGCACTAAAAATGTAAACAGAATCTTTATGTGAGAGAAACCATCAAAATAGATTCTCGCCTCATGAGATGACTTTCATATATTCAGATTAGATGAGCCAATGTCAGCCTCACACTGATATGCTTTGCTTGTCCAGTTCATTATTTATGCCCTAGGCTCAACAGAAAAAAAGCTTTCTTTGAAATGAATTGTTCTACAATAATAACAAAAGAGTGCCAGAGTAAAGACAGAGAGAATTATCTGTGCTTAATGCATATTATCACCCCATAATTCTATGCACTTTGGACATACACTAATCTTTCAAACATAAAACCAGAAGTAGAAGTAGAAACTGAGGGAGTTAAACCCATCATACCCATCTCTAAACTATGAGACTAAGAAAAGACCTTGGCGCCTCTCTCTAGGCTATGACAGTGAATTCATGTCATCGATATGATGTGTAATTTACTTCCCTACAAATGTTTTTTCATCTGTATTGCACACCTGAAACATTGCCATATTGTTCTTTTCCATGTAACTTATGACCCTAAAGCTTTAGTTTACCTTGGCTGAGAGAAGTTTTGTGAACAAATTATATTGTTAAATAATTACTCATTGCAGTATAGTGGGACCCTTTTAAAACAATCAGTCTTTGATTAAAGGAAACATTCACTGTTTGCACTCACGCCTCTCACACAAACTGTATTATATTGGAACAACCCTAAGTGCAAGTAATATTTTCTAGAGTGGTTTGAAAGCAGAATGAGAGCAATTTTAACTTTCATAATTCTATTAAATATTAGATTCCTGGTAAAAGTAAAACTGCTCAGAATCATCTCGTTAAGTTTGTATCCCTCCATTCTCTCTTTGATACTCTTGCCAGACTTTTTCTTTCCACAAAAGAAACCTATTTAAAATAGTGGGAATTACAGTTGAAATATACGCAGCCAAAATGCAAAGATGACTGTTTCAGCTAAGTGAATTGCTTCTTAACAAATGCAAATTTATATTTATATAACCCCTTTCCATTCAGGAGGGTATCTCAAAACTCTTCACGTAGCTGACTCGGAGTTTAAGCTGGAGGGGGAGACGCAGGCGAGGGGAAAGATTGATGAAAGCAGTCGGAAATGGGTCTTAAGGAGAGTTTTCAAGGCAGGGAAGGAGAGGCAAAGCAACAACAAAGCAAACAGAGGGGTCAGAGTATCTGAAGGCTCTCACACTGATAGTTTAGCGGAATGGGCGGTGATGTGAAGCAGAACAGTGTTTACAATACATTCAACACAATTTACATTTATAATAGTTCCTTACATGTGTTACCACGTAAACAACACAATTTGTATTTGCATAACTCCTTTCTGCAGAATACCCCCCTTTATGGGAGAAGATAACAACAAAACAACAAATTATATTTGGATAGCCCCTTTCACATTGGGAAGACGTCCCAAGGCCAAAAAAAAGACAAGCTGAATAACCTCAATTTAATTATCTGTGTTACCCGTTAGATTATTCTTACTTGTTTCATTTATTTTGGACTTTTTGATGCTTCCAAATCAGGAATTCCATTTGTCTTTGATTAATTGACATTTCAAGCTCTAACTCTGGATTCTTAGTTGCTAATAACATTTATTTTAATTGGAAGGACCAAGATGTATAGGTACACCTGCCATTACATATTCTAGGGAGTTCTCTTTAGTTGATCAATTCCCAGTCTGAGAAGATCAAATCACTTTAGTTTGTCATCTTTGCAAATTTTGTACATTTGACCAAATTTAACCCTTTGTATAGATTTTGAGCTGAGCCTTTTACCACACTATTGATCCCGTTGACCGATCTATGCACCCTAGAGGTGATGGAATGAATGGGTAGAAGTTTGATCTGTAAACAGATGTATCATCATCCTTAAGCCATTATTCACCAGTGATCTAATTACTCAAAGGACATCTCAGGTAACTTAGTCAGTTGAATCCCAGGGTATTTTATTGAGGTGTATTAAACAGGGTACTGTATCTGAAACGTTCTTCTCATCAGGAAAGAGGTAAATGAGATCTCCTAGAATTCAACTTGTCAAGCTCATTGTTGATGAGAATTAGTGATGAACTTGGAGGTTTAAATACAAAATTACTCATGAGAATACTTAATAAATCTGAGTTTGGTAACCAGAAGTACAACAACCTGACCCATGATAACTCTATTCATATGCAATCTATTTTCGGAGCAAAGTTCCCAGTAATTTCTAAATGGATTTTCTTTGTTTTAGAAATCTAGCATTTTAGATCTCTATGTTGTTAGAGTGGTCCTCATTGTACAAGTGTGTGGTTCATGTCACAGGCTCTGACACTGCTGGAACACTTTTTAAGACATCATTAATGTAAAGTCAGAAATACTGGAATGATTAAGATATTAAAGAATACAAACTGTCTCTTGAGCCAAGACCTGATAGCAAAACCTCACATTGATAGTACTCTGGTATACGGAGCCAGTTATAAACTGTTCAGTATCCCAGAGGAAAATTGGGAAAGCAATTGGGAATATAGGAACAGAAGAAGTTATTTAACTTTGTAAACCTGCACCTCCAGTTTATCAGATCTTGGCAGATATTTTTATCCTATTTCTCTGCCTTTTCAGTATATCCCTTAATACCCTTACTTCATTTTAGTGTTTGCATCTCCTCTCACGCAGGATAGTGTTCCAGAGCGCTTGAGCCTGAGCAACTCTAATTTATTTCTGCACTGCCCACAGTACCGACACTACTCTGGTCAAAGTCACAAATGACATTCTTGCTTCCTTATCCTTCTTGATCTCATTGCTGCCTTCAATACTGTCAACCGTTTTTTTATTCTCCACTGCTCTCAGCTCCACCTTTATATTTCTGTCCTTGCCTGGTTTTATTCTTACGTATCCCAACGTCTACACTTCATATCTGCCAACCAGTTTCTCCTCTCGTACAGTGTGGTGATCCTCAGGGTTCTATCCTCGGTCCTCTCCTCTTTAATATCAACATGATCCCGCTCAATGATGTCATCAGCAGGAATAGGGTTCGCTTCCACATGCTTGTGGATGACACCCACCTTTATCTCTCTATCTCTACCCTCAATTCTAGGCCCAATGCCATTCTGACCGATTGCCTGTTGGACATCAAATGCTGAATGAGAGCTAACGTTCTCCAGTTGAATGTCAACAAGACAGAGGCTTTACTGCTTGGCTCCCATCAGCGCCTTCTCATCTCAGGTGCTGACAGCATCAATCTACATATTATGTATATATTTTATATTATATATAATACATATACTATGTAATATACATACTATACATTATACATAATACGCCCATTGTCACCCACCATATTCCATGTATCCATCAATGACCTGTTGGATGGCAGATCACGGGGTGGGTGGACTGGTGTATCTGTTCCGGCCTTTCTGATAAGATTGCATATGACATTGTGTTGCTGGTGGACTCACCTGGGGACCTTATGCTCTGCACTCAGCATTTTGAACACTGGACCACCCGGTGGGACATAATGGTGGGATTTTCATATGGAGGTGGGCTCCATGGAACTCTGGTCGGTTTACATCTCTCTTACATGATCTAGGAATGGGGCAGATCGATGGCAGATAATAATGATAATAATCCTTGCATTTGATTTAGTGCATTATCACATCTTCGAGATGAAAATCAATATAGAGAAATGCAAAGTGCTTCATAGGGGGACAAAAAATCAAGGAAGGGACTATTATTTAAAAGGAAAAAAAATAATATGCAAGGAAAATGAAAAGGACCTAGGGATCCTGGTTGAAAGTAAATTGAAGTTATCGCAACAGTGCTCAGTAGTAGTGAGTAATGCAAACCAGATGCTGGGCTGTATTAAAAGGGCAATATTGAGCCAAAATAATGGAGTAATCCTGCCAGTTTATAATTCTCTGGTGCAACCGCACTTGAAATACTGTGTGCAGTTCTGGTCATCGCAAATACAAAAAGGATATTGCAGCAATCGATAGGCTGCAGAAGAAGGCAACCAAAATGATTGAGGGATAGAGGGACATGTTCACACCGGAGAAGAGAAGGTTAAGGGGCGATATGATTACGGTCTTTAAGATCTTAAAAGGACTAGATAATGTAGACCACGATAAGTACATTATCTTGTACTGAAAACAAGAACCAGAAGACACAGCCTGCAATTGAAAGGGGATAAATTCAGAACAAATCAGTGGAAACATTACATCAGTGAGCGAGTAGTAAACGTATGGAACAGGCTCCTTCGGGAGACAGCAGAAGCAGAAAGAGTCGATTCTTTCAAGAACAAATTAGATAGATTTCTGTTAGGAAATAATATCTCGGATACAGTATATAGTTTGGGACACGACATGTCATGTGACTGCCAGGATGAAGGAAGGTGAACTGGATGGACCTTGGTCTTCTTTCGCCTCACAAATTCTTATGTTCTTTCATGTAATGGAATGATTGAATGCTGCTTTGTGTATATTTGTTTAGAAATTGTGGAAATGCTATCAGCGCTCTCTAAGGGATTCCATGCAGAACATTATTGTTATATCCATTGTGTTGCAATTCCTGTTATTTTATTGCCTGATACAACATTGTTCAGTCTGGTGGAGGGCAGTGGACCTCTTGCTGTTTTGAGTCAATAATATATGCAGGTAGACGGTGTCATTGGTGCCAGAAGCCTTATCCTTCCATCGTTGGGCGAGAAGGGAAGTTTTCTGAGATTGCTCTGATGGAAACTATGTTTGTTTGAATCTGATTTCCTCTTCTCACACATAAGGTTTTGGCTTCCTGTTATTTATGCTAACAGCAGGTTCTGTTTCTCAGTGGCCTTTCTGCCTTTGTTAAAACAGAGTTAACTGAGGCACAGCATTGAGGATTCTGATGCAACTAAATATTTTATCTATCTCTGTGGCAGATTGGAGGCCTGTACCTAGAGGGATGTAACTTTGATGGTAGCCGGCTTTCAGAAAACCAGCATGATTTTCCGAGTGTGTCATCTGTACCCACCTGTTATATGGCCTGGATTCCTCAGGTACTGAATTATTTAAGCACCAAACATCTAAGCTCCTTTATCCACCTCAACCAAGCTTTATACTCTTTCACACTAAATTCTTCCTTTACATTTTTAAGATTGACGGAAATGATTATTGTAAAATGAAGAGCTGTATTTCTTCTACAAATTTGTGCCACACAATTTCTTATGGTTTTAGCTTTAAAGCTATTACCTTTAAATGTACGATTATGCAGAAATGTTGGTCACTTCTTCAATTCAGTCTTAATTTCAAAGCTAAACAGAAGGCAAAATACTGCAGATGCTGGAAATCTGAAATACAAACAGAAGTTGCTGGGAACATGCAGCAGGTCAGGCAGCATCTATGGAGAGAGGAAAGTGAGCTAAGGTTCAGGTCGATGACCTTTCGTCAGACCTGGGGTATGTTGGAAGGTAGCAGATTATTAAGACAACTGGAGAAGGGGTGGGGGAGAGAAAAACAAAGGAAAAAATTAGGTGGAGGAGAGGAGATGACAGATCAGAGGTGTTGATGGTACAAGACAAAAGAAGGCAATAGTGGGAAATTATAGAAAGAAAAAATGTCTGAAACCTAGAAGATGTGTGAATGGCGATAGAAAGTGGGGGCGGGCGGGGTGAGGATAAGACTGAGAGAAGATGGGAGCTATGATTGAGATCTGAAGTGGTTGAAATCAATGTTGAGGCCAGTGGGCTGTCAGGTCCCTAGGAAGTAGACGAGGTGCTGTTCCTCAAGGTTGCATTGTGCTTTGTTGGAACAGCATAAGAGGCCATGGACAGAGAAGTCAGAGTGGGAAGAAGAATTAAAATGGCAAGCGACCGGAAGCTCAGGGTTGCACTTGCGGACGGCAAAGTGATCACTCATTCTACGTTTGGTCTCCCAGATGTAGAGGAGACCACAGCCTAAATTTCAAAGCTGTTTTCTGCAGTTCTCAAAATGCACTTAGTGGAATCCCATCATAAACGTGCTTTGTTTTAATACACTGAAAAATGGCTAACATGGAAAAGTGGCTGCTGACACCACTTTTTCACATCAGACATCTTGACTCCTTTTTTGTGATTAATTTAAAAAGCAATATCTTGAGCAGTACAGATTTGCTGCCACTAGATGTCACTAATGAACTTATTTATCTAGTACTGCGCAAAACATCTCAAAACAATTGAATGCACCTGCATATCTTGTGAATTCCATCCTTAGCAAGACAGACACTCTCAGTTACATTGGTGCAACTCCCTGGATTTGAATTGTCAATAAACATGCCATTTTTCTTTTGATTCTTAATTTCCATATTCCTTATTCCAAGGCAACAACAACAACAGTAACAACAAAAACTTGCATTTATATAAAGCCCTCAGAACGCTTAACAATGGCGGAGCCCGATGCCAAGCCAGGGTGAGGGGGAAGGTGACCATAGGCACGGTCGAAGAGGAAGGTCTTCAGGCACAACCTGAAGATGGGGAAGGAGGGGGCGAGGCTAAGGGGTTGAGGGAGGGAGTTCCAAAGTTTCGGGGTGTAGTGGCTGAAGGCATGACTGCCGATGGTGGGGTGGAGGATTCGGGGGACACGGAGGAGGCAGCGAGTACTACTGTGGGGAGAGATGAGGCTAGAGAAGTGGGGGGGGTGCCAAGGAATGAAGGGATTTCAACACTAGAGTAAGGATCTTGAAGTTGATCCGCTCTGTGACAAGGAGCCCGTGGAGTTTGGCAAGAACTGGAGTAATCGGTGTATGACGTTTGGTGTAGGTGAGAATGTGGGCGGCGGAGTTTTGAATGAACTGAATTTTGTGAATAGTGGAGGAGGGGAGACCGGCGAGGAGGGCATTAGAGTAGTCCAGCCGAGAGGTGACAAAGGCATGGACAAGGGTTCCGGCAGGTTTTGGGGTGAGGTATTGTCGGAGACGGGCAATGTGGCGGAAGTGGAAGAAAGAAGTGCTAGTCAGGGACCGGATGTGGGGGAGGAAGGATGTAGGATGGGGGCCACGGTAGGAGCTGAGGGCGGTGTGGGTGAGGGAGACGGAATGAGGGTGGTGATGGGTGACACAGGGCAGAGTGATGAAGTTGCCAGGCGGATGTTGTCAATTTTATAGGTAAGGAAGTCCATGACCGCTTCGCACTTGGAATTAGATGTGATGATTGAGGGTGCTTGAGGGGCGCACGGAGGAGATGGTGGGCGGTGGAGAATAGGATTTTGGAGTTACTCTTGGCCTCCAGTATGATGTTTGATTACTGCGCAGTTTTTGCTCACGACAGGGAGCGGCGGGAGGTGTGAAGATTATCGAGCCACAGCTGGTGGTGAATCGTGAGGTTGGGTTTCTGCCACCTCTGCTCGAGCAGCCGGGTTTCGGTATCTAGGGAGCGGAGACGGCTGTTGTACCAGGGGGAGCGGGTGGGTTTGGAGACGGTCCTGGATTTCAGGGGAATGAGAGTTGAAGGTGGAGAAGAGGCGATCATGGAGCAGCTTGATGGCTGCTTCAGGGTCGCTGCGGGTGGAAGGCCAGAGGGATAGGAGGTCTGAGGATGAGAGGGTCTTTGTGAGGGTCTCGGGGGAAGCCTTTTCCATGTGTGGAAAAGTATTATTGAGGGCTCGATAGAGGAGAGAGGAATGCGAGAGAAGGAGATGAGGAAGTGGTCCGAGATGGCCTTGTCGTGATTCACAGGTCGGAAATGTCAAGGTCATGTGTGATGTCGAGGTTGAGGGTGGCCACGGTTGTGGGTCGGTGAGTTAATGTGGAGGGTGAGGTTTAGGGAGGAGAGGAGGGCAGTGAAATCTGAGGATGTGGTGCAAGGGGAGTTTAGGTGGAGTTTGAAGTTGCCCATTATGAGCAGGCTTTCTGAGGCAAAGGAACAGGGAGGAGAGGAGAGCAGAGGAATAAGGGGATAGACTGATGGAAGCTTGAGAGATGAGGACCACCCCTCCGCCACGTTGGTTTGGGCGGGGGCTGTGGTGGAAGAGGAGGCTTCAACTAGGGGGACGGAGTCACGGGGGGAGAGCCAGGTTTCTTTAAGCCCAAGAATATCCATGTGCTCATCCAGGATGAGCTCATGGATAATGAGGGCTTTATTGGAGAGGGAGTGGATATTTTGTATTGATGGGCTTTGCTCGTGGGGAGGGGGGGGGGGTTGGGGTGAAGGAAAGAGTGGTATGGAGAGGATCAGCACCTTGGGACGTCCTCCTGACGTGAAAGGCGCTATACAAATGTAATCTTGTTGTTGTTCGTGGGGGAGAGATGACTGGAGTTTAAGTGGGGGGGAGTTGTAGAGGGGGAAGGGGTGTTTGGTGCGGAGAGAGTGAGCAATGGGACAGTTGGAGTGGCTGCTCTGGGACAACCAATGCCGGGAGCCACGATGGGCCCGGGGAGGATACCCAGACTGGAGCAGAGGGAGGTTATGGTGGGGTCCAGGAGAGAGAGAAGGCGGAGAGGGCACTGGGGGAGAAGGACAGAGTGGGAATAGGGGATAGAGGGGGGAGCAGATTGGGGTGGCAGCCAAAATGCACACACAGAGATCAGGAGCGAGCGATCAGCGGGACCGCATCAGCCACGGGACTAAAGGCAAGAAGGCAGTTAAACCAAACTTCTTAGTAATATTGGTAGTAATAATACTACAATTCCCATCTACAGTTTTACAGTAAATCTTATGAAGTATTTTGAGTGTCAAAGTGAACAGGCAGATGGGACCTCGTCCTCGTGATATGAAAGGCGCTTTATCAAATGTAAGAATTATTATTTAGATTTGAATTTTGTTCAATATATGCAGTGTTAACAGATCCCATTCGGTCAGCAGTTGGGCTTCCTCAATTGCCCACAGGTAAGGGAAGAGGGAACTATCCAGGTGCTCCCATTCTTGATTGGTGCAGAATCATTACAGAAATATGTGTGAGGTCAATGGGTGAGGACAGATTGGGCTCAACACTGATGCCCATTGTATTCAAACAGCCTGAAAACAAGCACCATCAAAACTCGCACATGATGAAAGGATTCAGAGCTACATTGATGCAAAAGAGCCCCTAAAAAAGGTCCAATAGCTTCCCAATCTTCTCCTGAGAGCAGTGGCCTTAGGTGGACAAACAGCATGAAACTTGCCAGACAGTGCTTTCAAGGGCAAGCTGTGCAGTTTTATCTAGTTAAATTCCAACAATATTGCAACGCATACTCTGTGGTTCCCAAGCCTTGGCTCTTGCCAACCTGGGCATAATACTGTCTGAAATTAGGTAAGCAGGGTCTGTTCTTCTGTGGGGAAAGAGAGTATTCCATCTCAGACGGAGGAATTTCCATGTGAGGAGCCACACATGAAACTTTCAATCTGCTTTGGATACTCTTAACAATAGTAATGGGTTACCGTATGTGACAGACACCCTGCTGATTCAAAAGAAATCAATAGTCATGGAAAAAACACCACTAAGATGTTTGTGTAGTCTAGAGCATTGGAAGATCTAATCTAAATTGGCCTATGGATGCCTTCATTGGGAAACCAAAAGTTCTGTGAAAAGAACTTTGCCAAAATCATGGAGTGTCTCTACTCATAGAGATATCGCTTTACAAATTGCTTAACCCTGCAGGGTACATGAGATTTTTTTTAAAATGTAAGTTTTCTTGTGGTTTTAAAACTACATTTGGTGTTCTGTGTTTTTTGGGAAAAAAACAGGCTCTGAATGAAATTGAGACCAAACCCATTGTTGTCTTCTGCGAAACACTGGACAAGAACATAACTGAACTGTTAGACATCTCTATTTATAAAAAGTTCATACCTCCTTCCCAACAATGCATAGTTATTACCTTTCCCAAAGTGTTTTTGTGCAAAACTGCGACGTTTGTTTTCAACGAATCCCTTTGTGCACTGACAGTTTACTGAGAATGTTCTGACACAGAAGGACACCCTGTACAGAGCTGTTCATTGTTTGCTTGCCTTTGTATTTCCTGTTTTTATCAAATTGTTGGTGCCTATTGATTTTTCTGGCCCAGACACTCATAAGTTGTCAACTGCTGATTTCTGTCTGTTCTTTTGCCTGCATACAACTCTGAACTCAAATCTTTTTTTGCAGAATTTTACTGGTCCATACTCTCCTGATGAGTACATTTCCTTACCAGTCTATACAAGCGCTGAGAGAGATCGTGTTGTAACAAACATTGGAGTCCCCTGTGGAGGCAACCAGGACCAATGGATACAGTGTGGGGCAGCATTATTCCTGAAGAATCAATAGTTTATTTTTGTGTGTTTTTAATGAGTCTATCAAGCGTTAAAGCTTATATTGAAGCAAGCAAAATAAGGTTTGTTTATATATTGAACATCCTGTTGATACCATGTACTGTCAATCCGTTTTGGTACATCATAATGCACATTCCACAAGAATGAGATACTATCTCCCTTTATCTGAAATACTTGTGTGTGNTTTTTTCAGAAGAAACAATAACATTTCCAGAGCTGACAGGAAGCAATAAAAATAAACCTGCAAATGCTGGAATCTGAAATAAAAACAGAAATTCTGGAAATTCACATCAGATCAGACGTAATACTTGATTTCCTCCGATTTTTAAGCTACTGTTTGTTCTGATGAAGGTCAAGCCTGGAATGTTAAGCCTATTTTTGTCTTTCAGATATTTATTACCACTAGTGGATTCTTATCCTTTTCAGTTTTAATTCTACAATCAATATCTAGTTTACTTCTGTGCCACCGTGAGTTTTGGTAGGTGACAAGATTGTATATAAAATACTATATTCTATTTCCTGCAGTATATCACTCTGCTTTGTAAAGGAAATGCAGCTCAATGTTTATCATCTTCCATGACCTCAGGAATGTGTTTCTTGTTTGCTAGAATTTGTTACTCTTTGGCTATGTTACATATTTCAGATGCTTGAGTTTAATGTCAGCGAGATTGTTTTGTCGATTAGTATTTTTTATTGTGTACACCAAAAATGAACATTCCAATGAGTTGTGATGCTTCTGTTATTGGAATAAAAAAATCAGTTCAATTCTACCCTCAGAATGTTTGTTTGCGTGATTTGTACAAAATGACATACCTGCAGTTTACAGGAAAAGGTACCTGAAGCGAAAGTGCTTCCATTGATTTCAACTTGCAGCCTTAATGCTTACACGACAACCAATTGCATTATAAGCAATACAAGTGCTCTGAGACACTACCTCGACTGAGGAGAGCTATATAAATGCAAGTAAGTTATTGTTGTTTTATTTGATACCACTTACTTTGTGTGGAGGGTGGTGGCGGCTGTTATGTGGATAATTGAAGCAAAATTGGCCATTCACTTCTTGGCTGTTTTGGGACTTTGCTGAGTGGAAATATATTGAAATTGTATTCTAGAATGCAATGTGGTACTAGAATGTTACTTATTCTAAGGAAATAACATAATTAGTAATTATCCCTTAGTGTATCTAACTCTCTCTGTGACTCCTAATACTGCATCCAATATGTGTTGCTTAAAATTAATCCCAATGTTAGGACTTTGAGCTCAGTCTAGGCTGGCACACCATTGCAGTATTGGAGGAGCCCAAAATTGTCAGTAATACAAAGCTGAGGGACCGCTCTGCCTTTCAGGTCGATGTTCAAGATCCTGTTACAATATTCAGGAAGAGAAGGGAGTTTCTCCAGTTGTCCTATCAGGAAGCGTTCCAGAACGCTACCCCGCTTGAACAATCACAACAAAATTACATCTGTATAGCACCTTTCATGTCAGGAGGATGTCCCAAGGCGCCGGACAATCAGTGTTTCAGACACGAGCTGGGGGTCGGGATCAGGGAGGTTGGAGGGAAGGAGGGTGATCGAAGACATGATCAAAGAGGAGGGTTTTGAAATGGGTCTTGAAGGAGGCAAGGGAGGGAGCGAGGCAGAGGGACTGCAGGATGGAGTTCCAGAGGGTGGGGGGACAGTGGCTGAAGGCCTGTCCGCCAATGGTGAGGCGGGCGAGGCGGGGTATGTGAAGCAGGCCGGAGCCCGTAGAGAGGAGGGAACAGGCAGGATGGTAAGGGGTTAGAGGTCATGGGTAGGGGGGAGCTCAGCCATGGAGGGTTTTGAAGGTGAGAACCAGGATCTTGAACTGTATCCTCTGTGATGCAAAGCCAGTGGAGTCGGGCGAGGATGGGGATAGTGAAGGGCGCTATATAAATGCAAGTTGTTATTGTTGTCCTGGCCAACAGTACTCCAAATAAATTGATCACTGACTTCATGCCTGCTGAACACAAATTGGCTGCTGTGTTTGCTTATAAATATACAGTAACAACTACATTTGACAGAAATTCACTGTGATTTCTTTTCGAAGTCTCGACATTATAGGCACTATATCAAACTCAAAAAATATTTTATTTTAAGTCCCATGAAAACACACAAAGTGCTTTTCTGTTTTATTTAGGGAACTCTTGTACCCAGTATGTGGTTAAGTAAATGTCCTGTAAATTCCTAGTTCAAACTGGGAGGCAACTATATTCCAGCAACAATAACTCCTACTTGCTATGTGATTGAGCAATTAGGCAGCAATAACTGCCCAGGGGCACATTACAGAATGGAACAAACCAGTATTGAACCCGAGTCATGCCAACTGCCACTCAGCAGTCAGGCAAAAAAAACAACAAGGTAAAAAGCTAATATCTCCTCTAACAAGGATAGATGCAGCAAGCAGAGAAAAGCAGGACCACTGATGATAGGTAGAGATATAAATATGTACATTGTAAATGAGTACTGTGGTTAGCATTCTCAAGAAGTTACACTGTTCATTTGAGAATATAGTGAATTTGTCAATGTACACTCCGCTATTCTGTTCTACTTTGAATGTAATTTCATATTTATATTGTAATTTTATGCATAATTTGAATTTTCATTTATTATTTAGAGAGCACACAGCAACAAATTTGCTAAACTTAGCGAAGAGAGCAGAAGAGCGAGCGTTTATCAATCAATTTGTGATTAAATTCACTGTGTTACCTAATACACTATTTATATCTTCATGTAAATACACATTATAACATTAAAAATTAAATTGGATTACTTATTTGGTAAAGGCAACAACAACGTGCATAAAATTTCAGAACATTGCTGAACAAAGACGAGGTAAGAGACAGAAGTGGGAAGTGACCGTAGGTGTGCCAGAGAGATAAAGAGATGGAAAAGTAGAGGGATGGAGGGAGTTTCAGAGGTTAGGGAAATAGAAACTGAAAGTTATGCCACCAATTGATGTGAGGGATTCACAAGTTTGCCAAGCAGAAGGAGCAAGCAGAGGAGATCAGAGCGAGGTACTAGTTGAGGGTGAGGAATTTATAATTGATCCACAATGAGTTTACCTGACCCCACACTAAGCTGCCCCGTTGCTCGGGACAAGTCCTGAAGGGGTAACAGTAGACAGGTATATTTCTGGTAATACCCTCATTATCCTCACCCCCTTTTGGTCAGAATTCCTATCACAAGAGCAAGGTCTAAATGGTAGTACAGTATATGGGAGAAAAAGACAAGAGTGTAAGAATAATAAGGAAACGTGAAAATCCCCAAAACACTCACGCTATTCTCTGACTGCAAATGTGTGTTGTGTAAGTGAGAATTATTTCCCATGCTGCAGTATTCTGCTTCTGATCACTGGGATCTCCAGGGTTTTAAAGATCAACAGTTCCAGAATATTTACACTATTGCTATTCAGCCAGCACCACACAACCCACAGGCAGAAGCAGATGAACAAAAACATGACAGGAGAAAGCTTGGGGAGTTATTATTGAAGTATTCAAGCTCCGAGAGGACGTAGACAAACTGAATCCTAATACGTGTTTGACATGGTCAAAGTATCTGGAACAAGGGGACAGGGACTCAAGTCTGAAGCGGGAAGGTGAACTGACGGTTTACATTCAATTATTTTATACAGAAAGTGGTGAAGATGTAGAAGGGAAAATTGGAGGCAGATCCCATCAATTAATTCAAGAGGGAATAAGTTAATAGTATGCAATTGAGGGGTATAAAAGTTATAGTGTAGCATTATTTTGTTTTCTTTTAGGACTGGCTTTGTGACGACAATAGTCATTTCCAGTCCTGTGCATTCCTTAAATTTCCTTTTAGCAATTACGGTATATATATGAAGAATAGTTATGAATTCAAAAGGCTACGATAATAAAAATACTTACTTTTGATATAATGCATTATCACGTCGTTCAGATGTCCCAAAATGCTTCACAGGATATATTATGAAGTGGGTGTGACTGCATATTTTGTGGGCTAATGCAATAGTCAGTTTGCACACAGCAGTGTCCAACAAACAGCCATGGAGTGAGACTGAAATAACATTGAAGTATAGTTACTTAATTCTCAGGCTTTTGTTGGCTTCTTCATTACTTCTGATAATGGTTTAAAATAACAGCAGTGAGACTTGGTGTAAATACAAATGCATTGGGATGACTGCATTGAACAGACATGGTACCCCCATTGCTCTTGTTGTTCCACCCCCATGCAGTGAACTGTCAGTGCATTTAAGTGCTCTGGGACGCTACCGCATGAAGAGTGCTATATAAATGCAAGTTGTTGTTGTTGTGCTGCTATAATGAAAAGGGATCATGAATTACTCTACGGGTAAATCTTGTGACAAAAGTACCAGCAATCTGAGATGATGAGGTAGCATGATTTATATTTTCAGTTGCCAAAGCACATGAATGTTACAAGGTAACACAGACAAATCCTGAAGTAATATCTTTAGTATAGAACTATGAAGCATTGAGCACTAGCCTTGGACAATTATGTAAAACATTAATTTTACAAAACCGGATAGCTAAGTGCAGTGAGTACACATTCATCTCTTTAACATATTTACTGACAATTGCAGTGCATCATGTGCAGAACTCAAGGTAAGAACTTTAACAAACAAGTGGAATACAATCCCTTTTTTCTTGGTGGAGAACATGAGGAATAATTTTGCAATGTATTGCACAGTATTGCTGGTTCAGAAGGGAATCAACCACCCATTCTGCTTTATGGTATGTTTCTGAGGTTTGTTTCCACTGCAAACACATTCATAATTCAAAAATGGGAGAAAGAAATTCATGGTCAAATAATAATAATAATAATAATAAAGTACAGGTTTCTGCTTTAAAGAACAGATTGGGTATGCTCTAAACTTTCCTCAGCCTCATCTTTTCTTATTTAATAGGAAGGCATTGAACCATAGAAATAAATAACCGTCCAATATAGAGCCTTTAATAAGAAATTCTGCTGTCAGAGATCATGAGAATAATAGAAGACAGGCCAATAAAAACAACAAATTGCATTTATATAGTACCTTTTACATCGGGGAGATATGCCAAGGTGCTGGACAGTGGGGGGTTTGCACGTGAGCTGGGGATTAGAGTAACGAGGGATGGAGGACAAGGGTGGTGGAGGTGGGAAGATGACCGAAGGCAAATTCAAAGAGGAAGGTCTTGAGATGGGCCTTCAAGGAGGCAAGGTAGGAAGCGAGGTAGAGGGGCTCCAGGATGGAATTCCAGAGGATGTGGGCAGAAAGGCTGAAGCTACAACCGCTGATGGTAGAGCAGATAGGGTGGAGGGCATGGAGCAGGGCAAAGCCACCGAACGAGTGGATAGATTGGTAACGTTTTAGTAGGGAGGAGAGGTAGGGAGGAGCACGACTTTGGAGGGCTTTAAAGGTGAAGACGGAGATCTTGAACTCAATCCCCTGGGGGATGGGGAGCCAGTGAAGCCAGGCGAGGATGGTGATGATCGGGTCACGGAGCCTAGTACGAGAGAGGACACAAGCTGCAAAGTTATGAATAATCTGTTGTGGGGGAAGAATTGGTAAGTTTGGCGAGCAGGGAGTTAGCCAGGAGTCAAGCTTGGACATAATGTAAGCATGGTTGAGGGTCTCACAGCCTGAGGGTAATAGCAGAGACGGGCAATGTTGCAGAGGTAGGGGAAGGCAAAGTAGGTCATGGCATGGATATGGGATTTAAAAGAAAGTTGAGGGTCGAGCAAGATACAAGTTCCGCACAAGCTTAGTGAGGTGGA